CGGGCCCACCCGAGCTGAAGAGGCTGTCCTCCAAGGATCTAGGCTACACCGTCGCAAACGAAAAGCCGCTATCGTTCGGCCCCCTCGGGGCCAGTGTTTTGCCACGTTGGCTACTCAACATTATCTCGCTAACTCTCAGGGCTGTGCCAGGTGTCAGGGCTCCACTTCATTTGCGGCTGAAGCAGACTGGCTTAACACTCTCTGTTTCGGTTTACTCAGCGTGAACGGTATTCTCCTGGGGCCTCCTTCAGGGCAACAGGTGCGCATATCGGGGGGGGGGTCGTGCGGGACACTCACACGGTCATGGATTGGACGGGCTCAGAGCTCTGGTGTTGCCCGTCTTGCGGCTGTTACGCCTCGCAGCAACTGTGCAGATTGGGCGCTGCATGTGCCAGAGGTGTTTCTTGCAGTCAGGTTCGCTATCTCGACGATATCAGCCTCGGCAATTGGCCCAGGGTTCTCAGCAAAGCAAGACGTGGAAACACGCCCTCCGCGCACACGCCAGGCGCATGCCGGCCCCTCTGTTTGCCCCCCCCCCTCCCCCCCCCCCTGCGCGCGCAACTGCACATGCCAAGGGGCCCCGTGGACGTGTCACAAAACGTGCCCCGCGCGCACGCGCCGCAGGCACGTCGGGCCCCCCGTCCGCGCACTCACAGTGGGGGCCAGCCCACAAGAAACCCTCCACAAGAAGCCCAACCCGGAGACCCTGGGAAGGCCGTCGATTCGCGTCGTGGGAGTATCACGCTCCCCGGAGCAAAACCACCGACACCTGAGAAGCCCGGGGCACCCTGGAGGCAAACAAAGCGTTTCTTGGCATGGGCCTCCACTGTATGCCCACGTGCCATAAGAGAGACCACCACCCGAACGTGTGGGGTCCCTCGCGTGTGGCCCCGCGCCGTGGCCTGAAGGAAAAGGCGTGTGCCACGTGGGAGCTCCGCTCGCACGACGCGCCAGCCTCGTGCTGGGCCCCTCTCTCCGCTGCCCAGCCCCCATCCGCGCGCGAAGTTTTGCGTGTTGAAGCCCTCGCCGCCCCCAAGTGGGGTACCCCGAAGGCTCCGTGGACACGCGAAAGCAACGGCAAACGCATTGCCGGGTGACCCGATGCGATCCTTGCATGCGCTGCCAGATGTCGTCGATCCACGTGCTGTGCGAGTTTGCCCCCGCTCCGCGAGCGTATTCTTACCCTTAGGCAGGGCATGCTCTCCTGCAGGAATACAAGACATAACCCAAAAACGATCAAACATGATCAAAGCAAGTCGACAAGGCGGTCCCGCACTATGCTTTAACTGTTCTGGAATATTTCGCATGTAGAGAGACAGGCCCGACTCAATTTTACCTGTTGCAGCACTCGCCACCCCCAAGTTGGGTCCCCCAAGAGGCCCCGTGGACACGCGAAAACACTTGCCTCCCGCGCGCGCGTCCACGCACGGGGGGCACACACTTGCACACGCAAAAAATTTGCCACCCGCCAGTCGGGTCCATCGCATGCGGCCCCGCCGCGCCCCGGAACGCGCGAAATCACCTGCTCCGCGTGCGCGCGCCGGGAGCATGCTGGCCCCCCCCCCTCCGTTGCCCTCCCCCCTTCCGCGCGCGTACTACTACATTCAACGAACTCGCCACTCCCAAATTGAGCCCGCGTGGGGCCTCGTGGCCAAGCGGAAACACTCGCCCCGCGCGCGCGCCAGGGGCATGTTGCCCCCGCCCCCCCTTCCGCGCACCGGTTTTCACGTGCAGAGAGTTCGCCGCCTGCATGTGTGGCCCTCCGCTTGCGGCCCCATCGTGGCCGCGCGCACGCGCCGGGCGCATGTGCGGCCCCCTTTTGCAAAACCCCGTGCTGCGATAGGAGAGGGGCGGGGCGGAAGGTAGCTCGCAAATGCAAGCCCAGGCGCACCTTCGACCCCAGAAAAAACCAAGAAGAAGGCGTACCGTCGATCCCACCCCCTTGGCAACGCAATCGCGGCTGCGAGAGAACGGGAGGTAGCATTGAAGCCCCCTTCCCTTGGCAAGGCAATGTCAAAAAAAGCGCGTTCTGTGGTCGCTTGGAGGGGGGGGGACGGGGGGTTGGACCCCCCCCCTGCTTCCCATCTCCTCGGGCCGGCGATTGCGTCGGCGGCGGCTGGCGACGGCGGGCGGCGGGGACGACGATTTCCAATTTTGGGCGGTGGCGGGGAGCGTCGACGAGGACGACGGTGGTGGTGGTGGTGGTGGTGGTGGTGGGTTGTGGTGGTGGTGGTGGTAGCGGTGGTGGAGGTTGTGGTGGTGGTGGTGTGGCGGTTCGTTGTGGTGGTGGTGGTGGTTGTGCCAGTGGGTGGTGGTGGTGTGGTTGTGGTTTGGTGGTGGTGTGGTGGTGGTTTGTGGTGGTGGTGGTGGTGGTGGGTTGTGGTTGTGACGGTGATTTGTAGAGGTGATGCTGGTGGTGGTGTTGGTGGCGGTGCTGGTGGTGGTGTGGAGGTTCGTGGTGGTGGTGGTGAGTTGTGCTGATGATAGTGGTGGTGGTTGTGGCGGTTGTGGTGGTGGTGGTGTGGTAGATTGTGGTGGTGGTGGTGGTAGTGGTGGGTTTTGTGGTGATAGTGGTGATGGTGATGGTGAATGGTGGTTGTGGTTGTGGTTGTGTGGTGGTGGTGGTGGTGGTGTGGTGGTTTGTGGTGGTGTTGGTGGTGGTGGTGGGTTGTGGTGGTGGCGGTGGTTTGTGGACGTTTGTTGTGGTGGTGGTGGTGGTGGTGGTTGCGGTGGTGGTGGTGGTGGTGGTGCGGTGGTTTGTGGTGGTGGCGGTGGGTTGTGCTGCTGGTAGTGGTTGTGGCGGTGGTGGTGGTGGTGTGGTAGATTGTGGTGGTGGTGGTGGTAGCGGTGGTGGGGTTTTTGTGGTGGCGGTGGTGGTGGTGATGGTGAATTGTGGTGGTGGTTGTGGTGGTGGTGGTGGCTGTGGTGGTGGTTGCGTGGTGCTGTTGGTGGTGGTGGTGGTGGTGGTGGGTTGAGGCGGTGGTGGTGGTGATAGTGGTGGTGGTGGTGGTGGTGGTGGTGGTGGTGGTGGTGGTGGTGGTGGTGGTAATCGTCGCTGCGTCCCCGCCGTCGCCGGCGCCAGCGCCGGCGCTGCTGGCCGCCGCCAGCGCCGCCGGCGCCGGCGCGAAGGGGTGGGGGTTTGAACCTCCCCCCCCCGCGCCAGGGGGGTGGGGGAGGGGGGTTGAACCCCCCCCCACCCTGAGCTGCATGTGGTCATCTTCGCTGCGTCCCCGTCGTGGGCGCTGCTGGCGGCCGCCAGCACCAGCGCCGAAGGGGGGGGGGTTTGAAACCCCCCCGCCCCTGGGAGGGGGAGGGGGGGGTGTTCGGGAGGGGGGGGGGTTGGGGGGGAGGGGAGTCCCCCTGGTTTTGATCGACGGCGCCGAGTGTTAGGGAGGGGGGGCCCACCTCTGTTTGAAACGCGCCGCCGAGTGTTCCCAAGGCAAGAGCCCGTGAAACGCGTTGTCTCCAATCTCAACTGCGAAAGGAAGGGGGGGGTGGGCACTCGCTCCTCCTTTGAAATGGGAGCCCGGGCTGGAGCGGAGTGGAGCCCAGAAGTAAAGGGATGGATGGGGTAGGTATGAAGCCTCCCCCCCCCCGGCAAGGCAATCTCAGCTGCTAAAAAAAAAATGGGGGGGGGGAACTTTCCGAAGCCCCCCCCCTGAAAGGGAAGCCGCCCGGGCTGACCTTGGGGTCAGGAAAAGAGGAAAAGGAGGGAGGGGGGGGTAGCTTAAAAGCCCCCCCCCCTTAGCCAGGGCTCTCCCATCTCCAAAATGCCCACAGAAGGAAGGGAGGGGGGGTAGCTTCGACCCCCCACCCCCTTTCCAGGCGAGGGGGGGGGTAGCTTCAAGCTGGGGCCTCCCTTTCAATGAGGAGTGTGCCACGAGCGCGCTTTTTCTCATCCGACCATGATGGCGAGGAGGAGAAGGACGGAGTCGAAGGAGGAGTGAGAAGACGGGGAGGACGAGAATGACAAGGAACCGAAGAGCAAGGAGGAGGAGGAGGAGGAACAAACGAACGACAGTCTGGGCCTGATTGAGACCAGGTAAATGAGGCCGTGGCCTCTGAATACTGTGCTCTATGGTGAAGCATGCACGCGAGATATGTGGAACAAATATGTGAGACGGAGGAGGGGATGACGGCTAAACTCTGATGGCCGGTGTCGTCATGTCGGTGGTGCGATGTCGTTGGGTCGGCGTGTCGTCGAGGGTGATCCTGTAACTGATGTGACGTGGTAGTCTGTGTCGATGTCAGGTTGTTGTGATTGTACTTGGCGTGGTCTTTACTTGAATTGGTGTTGGTGTTGGTGTAGGATACGCATGTCGACTTGGAAGCTGGATGTCTGATGGCTGAGCTGGTAGAAGTTCGATATCAACGCATGGAGCTTAACATGAAAGGTCGAGTGCTGTATGATGGAGGTCGGAATGCTGACCCAGTGGAGGCTGGAGGTCGACAGGTGCAGGTGGGAGTGGAAACCATGCTGCTGGATGCTGGAGGTCGGAGGTGTTGAGCTGGCGGAGGCTGGAGGTCGATCGGCGGAGGTGGAAGTGGAAAGACGGGTGCTAGATGCAGGAGGTCGGAGTGCTGCATTGGCGGAGGCTGGAGGTCGCTAGGTGGAGGAGGAAACGGGAAGGTGGCTGCTGAGAGCCGAGGTCGGAGTGCTGAGCTGGCGAAGGTCGGAGGTCGATGGGTGGAGGTGGAAGAGACTGGGATGCTGGTCGCTGGAGGTCGGAGGGAGACGACAGACGGAGGAGGAGGAGGAGGAGGAGGAGGAGGAGGAGGAGGAGGAGGAGGAGGAGGAGGAGGAGGAGGAGGAGGAAGGGGAGAGGAGGAGGAGGAGGAGGAGGAGGAGGAGAGGAGGAGTAGGAGGAGGAGGAGGAGGAGGAGGAGGGGGAGGGGGAGGAGGAGGAGTGGGAGGAGGAGGGGGAGGAGGAGGAGGAGGAGGAGGAGGAGGAGGAGGAGGAAAAAGAAGAGGACGACGAAGGCGACTCGCGGCCTCCCGCCTGCGAGCAGGGTCCCTGCAGTCTGAAGTCCGCCCGCACCGCGAACCAGGTCGTGGCGCTGGCCAAGCCCAACTCCTGCGGCATAGGTCCGCTTCGCTCGAGCGCCACGCTTCGCTAGAATCCCACTTCGCCCCGAAAACCGCTTCGTCGGGGCCCGCTTCGCCAAGGTCCGTTTCGGCGGCGGCCAGCTTCGCTTGGCGCGCTTCGCTGGAGTCCCGTTTCGCCGGGTCCCGTTTCGCCGGGACCCACTTCGCCAAGTAGGCACCAAAAAGCAAACAGTTGTGATTCTGAATGGGTTCTTGAATGATTTTGGCGTTCTCGCCTTTTCGGCTTCCCGACGCTCCAAGACGGCACCCAATATCGCCCCCAAAGAGACGAAGAGGCCTCCAAGATAGTCCCAAAACAACAAAAAAACAAGACGGCCTCCAATATGGCCGAGAAGCCCGGTTCGCCGGAAACTCGATGCCAACGCCGACGAAACCACCGCCGCCGCCGCCGTCGTCGGGTCGGGCGGGCCGGGCCGGGCGGGACATGAAACCAAAATGCATCATCGAGTTGACACGCGTGTACCCTGGCGGGCGGGCCGGGTTTGGCGGGCGGGGCGTTCTCAACGATGACGCATCATCGCCTTAGCGTGCCCTTTCTGGGCGGGTCGGGTCGGGCGGGCGGACGCAACGTACCGGGTCGGGCGAACGGATTTGTTTCGGGCGGGGCAGCACATTGGAACGGGCAGGCGGGCATGCAAAGACACGGGCGATCAGCCCCAAACGGGCGGGGCGGGCTGGGCGAGCGGACCTTGACGTAGAAGAAAGAGCCGCGCGGAACGCCAAGCATTTAGGTTCATGCACTTTTTTCTTCTTCGATGACGTGCGGATCGCGCCGTTGATGATGAGCGACGACGAAGGCAGCCTGTGACGAGAGGTGACGACCACGACCAACGAGGACTACGGCGAGAGACGGCGGTGGGCGAAGCGGACCAGGGCGCGGCGGGGACTCGGGCGAGGCGGGCTTGCCCCGCTCCCGCCGGGCAGCGCCCCAATTGGGGTGGTGGGCTCGCCGTCCTCAGCCTTCTCGTCGTCCTCCCCCCCCTCCTCCGTCCTCCTCAGCCTTCTCGTCGTCCCCTTCCCCCCCCCCCGGCGATTCCCGGCGCTGGAAGAAGGGGCCGTGCGTCGAATAATGCGCACGGCGGCGGGGTCGAAACCGGTGGCGCGCAGCGGTTTGCGCAACGTCGGCATCTGAAAACCTCCCCTGTCGACCCAAACCCGAAAGAAGGGGGCGGCTGACGTTTTGGGTGTTCCACGGCGCAGCAGACACGCATGGGCTAGTCGACAGCGCCGTGGCCCACGGCCGCTGCCACGGCGCTGTGCACGGGCATCACCACCCACGGAGGGGGGGGCGGGCTCCCACTTGGAAAGTCAAGTTCTCCTTGCTCGCCTGGTTGCTACCGCTACCATCCAACGGAGGGGGAATGAGCAGGAGGAGGAGTAGGAGGATCCAGTGGCGATGCCACTTCCGATCAACTTTTACACCCCCTGGCCCCGCTTGGCCTTTTTCGCAACGGCCGAGGACTTTCGGGGTACAGCCCTGGCGAACTCGGGCCAACTATTCCTTGTTCTTCGTGAAGGTAGAAACGTGGGTGCGCGGTTTCCCCCAAACACACACAAACACACACACACACGCACACACAATCTCGTTGGAAACTGCCCCACTGATGCCATGTGAAAAGGATGCAACCGACACTCCGCACGATGGGTTCGGAACCCATACGGCGGGGACGCAATCGCGCCACCCACATTGACAAGCTGCGGGCACTGGGAACTCCAACACTCTTCGGTCGCAACAACGGTGGCTGACCCGCGGCACTCCACACACCGCCGATTGCGATCCGATACCGGATATCGAGGCATCAGGGGACGAAATCTGCAACAAGAACCAATACAACGCGCAAGCCTTCAGCGCCAGTATTGCCCACGCTCTAACGGACTACACGGGCGTGCAGCCGAAGGCCCTGGCCATCGCACAACTGCGGAAGGCAGTTTGGGCGGTGTGCCGATGGCTTTAAGAAAAAGTGCGTGAACCGCGTTCTATACGCACCAGAGCCGCAGCCAAGGCCCCGAACAAGGCCAGCCTGGTCCAGACAGACACCGACGCATAAGGTGTAGCCACGAGGAGCCGAAGAAGCTAAGAGGTAGCACCGTCGCTCGCAATCCAGCGAATATGTTCGCGCCCAAAGTAAGTCTCAATGTTTTCGGTGCCTGGGGCAATCCTGGAAGATAACTACTCCGTGATCACGTGGGCGCCAGAGGTTGCAGAGAAAGGAGGCGGCAGAAGGAGGACGATGGAGAGGACGAGGGGGGGAGCGGGGCACTAAACGGGGGTTACCTCAGGAAAGAAAGTTGTCGAGAAAGTGGAAGGAACCCAGTGTTCTCCACTCCTACCCTGCTCCCCACTTCCCAAGATGAGAAAACCACTGTTGAGTTCGGCCTGGGTCCATGGAGGGGAAGCTTCGAGAACCGGCATACCATCGCCACCATCATCATCCTCGTCACCGCCATCACCATCACCATCACCATCACCACCACCACCACCATCAGCATCATCATCATCATCATCATCATCAACAGCATCATCATTATCATCATCATCATCATCATCAGCATCATCGTCATCATCATCATCATCAACATCATCATCATCATCACCGTCGCCTCTCACTTCGGCAAGGTTTCGAACAACTGCCGAATGTCCACCTCCATGAATGGTGCTGGGGCGGACCGAACTGCCACTTGGCATTCGGGATCTGGGCGGCCGCTGCGGTCACGGTGTTCCGACAGGTGGGGTCGCGAAAGGAGATTCTCAACCGACGCTGCTCTTCCTGGTGTACTGTGTCCTGGCGGCAGAAAAACACGAGCTCGCGCTTCTTCGCGGCTGAATGCTCTCCGTGCTCGTTGAAAGCTGTTTGCATTGCTTGGGCGTTCTGGGCTTCGACTCCGTCTCCGAGGCTGGCCAATGCATCAGGAAGCCCCCCAAGGCCCAAATGAACGGCGGACCCAACTGGTGTTCTTCCTTGCTGTTGAAATGCGGTGGCGCAGGCGACCGTCGGTTCGCCCTTCCTAGTCATCATGGCGCACGTGGCAGGGGGCCGAAACTCGTCGAGCACGACGCCTGAGAGGTCTCTGGTTTGCTGGCTTACCTCGAGCAGCTGCTCCACCGGGAGGCGCAGCAGCTTCTGGGTGGGGTCGTTTCGCGTCTTTTTGGGAGCGGTCGAGGTCTCCTCCGTGGTGCCAGTGCCTTCCTCTTTGACCTTCTTGCCGCTCCCCGCGTTGCCGTCGCCGCCATTCTATTCGGGCATCGCCCCCAGCAGCGCCGGCATGGTGGATCCGAAGGGAAGGCGTAGAAGCATGAGGTTCATGCAGATGCTGAACAGAAGCAGACTTGAGTCAAACACTGCGGAATAACCAGCACATAGTGGGCATGCCCATTCGTCGAGTTTCTCGGGGTCCCAAGACATGAATAAGCGTCCCATGAAACGCCTGCCGTGCCCATCGAAATTCTTTAGGTGCTTCCGTGCATTATCGACGTCGCGGAATGGACTCAAACAGTTTGGGCATTTATTCGTGACGACAGCGCTATATAGGATGCAGTGCACTCGATTTCCCATGCGTTGAGTGTCCCAGTAGAGCCCGATATGAATCGAACTGGAGGCCGCACGAGGTGCCCTGGGGCCCTCTATCATACATGCGACGATGTGTCCGCTTACGGCTTCGGGGCAGCGTCGTTCAGGAGATAGAGGACACCCTTTACGTCAGTGAACTTTGCGGCACTTAGGATCGAGGGGTCAACCCTCAGGAATTCACGTAAGGCCTCGGGGGCGGGGTTGACGAGCTCTTTCCGCCGTTGCCTAAACCAAAATCGCTGCATGCTTCATCTCATCGGCCTCTGTGAACTTCCTAACTACTGGTTTTATCTCAGTCCTCAGCTACCGCGAAGTTCGGCCGCAAGTCTGATAATTGAAGCAACAGCTTGTTCATGAAGATGCTCTGCGTGCCGATAGAATCCATGCATTTTCCTTAAGGTCTCTACTGGGGACGTGGAAGCTGTCTCCGCGGTAACCTCGTCCCCGAGGCGCTTGCTCTCGGACTGGAGCGCGCTGGCGAGGTGCGCGTCCTGCGCGGTCTGGAGGACCCTCAAGAGAGGGAAGCCTTTTCAGACTGCGCACCGCCACCTCTGCCTGGACGCTTCGAGCAAGGGCTTGCCAAAGCCATTGGAAGAGGGGGCGCTATTGCGTGACCTCCTCCCAATCCCACCGTTAACCCTGCCCCAGAGAGACTCCGTCGTCGCAGTCGTAGAAACAACCATCGTGCTCGTCGTCATCCTCGGGGATCGCCCACGACACCCGACGGGGTCTGGACGGGACCCGAAGGTGTTCCTCCGCCTTGCTTGCCCTTGGAGAGCACGAGCGTGGTGGATCACTTGCTAAACTTCATCCTATACCGTTCCACTCGCATGTCCTGCTGTGGTCGCATACGGTCCAGAGCTGCGCCATGACTTGACAGAACCTGCCTCTGACTCAATCGTCGGATGGGGTCTCCGAGAGAGTCCTCCGAGGTCCCTCCAGCACTGCGTGGAAGTGCAGAGGCCTTGGGCGCTGTCCAAAACCTTGGGAGTCCCGAAACGGTGCGGTGACAGACCGTGCGGTGACCTTGAACCCCCCAAAGACCTCACCGCAAGGTCCGTCACCGCACGGTCTTGGGACCTGGGAGGCCCCAGTCGCCCGAGATGCCCTCGGAGAACGACCCGCGTCCCCACACCGTGCGGTGACCCTGAATCCCCGCTGGCTCACCGCACGGTGTGGTCACCACCCCGTTTGGGGGCCCCTGAGCTGTCCAAACCTGTCGGAGCTCAAGCTGCTTGAGCCGCAGGAGAGGAGCGGAGCAGCGCGCAGCGGAGCGGGTGCGCGGAGGACGCCCCGCCCGGAGGGAAGACGCACCAGCTGGTGGCCTGCTCGGAAGGCCGCGGCCCTCCACTCAGAGCTTCTTTGTCAGAACTCGAACTTCATTGAAGGGGCCCTGGGACACACACACACATCTATATATATATATATATATATATATATATATATATATATATAAAAATTAAATATAGACAAGTAGCAGGACCCACAAGATTTTCCAATATTTTTGTCTGGGCTTCTGTCTTCCCATATCTTCCCCTATTTTCTGGGGAATCGACGATGAATTGTGTCCGTGTGTTTCTTCCCCTCCTGATCCAGGGGCTCACCTCGGCTCTGCTCCGTCGAGGGCCTGGAGCTCTCGTCTCAGCAGGAGCCTCATCGGAGGGAGACGAGGGGGAAGAGGAGAAGGGGCCTCGGCACTGTGCGGAGATCGCCTGCGGTCCACAGGGCAGCCCCCGTGACAGCAGTAAGGGTGGTGGGACGATGCCATGGGCGAGGTGCCGTGGTCACTCTGCTTGAGCTACTTCCTACCCCTCCAAACCTGTGGGAAGGGGAGGGCAGCTGGGAATGGGCCCGGCATCGAAGAAGCGGGCAAATGAGATGGCGCCTGACCAGGGCGCACGCCGCCTGTGCGCCTCGGCCCTCTTGGCCTCGCGGCGGAGCAGCAAGGGGGCGAGGAGGGACGGTCCTGCACGCCGCTGACGTTGACGTCGTGGTCGGGCCGGAAGCTGCACTCGTACAGCACCTGCGCGGGGGGCTCCGGCGGCCCGCGAGAGCGACCCTCCCCAGCGCCTGTCCCGATCCGGTGGAGGGCTGGCAATCCGAGCAGGCCTCCTCCTCCTCCTCCTCCTCCTCCTCCTCCTCCTCCTCCTCCTCCTCCTCCTCCTCCTCCTCCTCCTCCTCCCCCTCCCCCTCCCCCTCGGGGATCGACTGCAGCAGCAACATTGGTCTACTCCCGCATTGGTCGTCTCGTCGGCTCCGCGGGGAAGAGCGCAGAATGCTCGTGGGTCTGCGGCAGGTCTCGCGGGTGCGTCTGGAAAATCGAGCCTGGGGTAAGTCAATGCTGCAGTGGATCCTCCACAGCAGGGGCCCGACCACAGGAACCTTCCACCAAACTCCCAGCCCTGAGGCCCCAGGACGTCCCTCGATTGCTGGTGTGGGAGCGTCGCGCTCTCTAGAGCAGAATCACCGAAACCCAAGAAACCCGGAACACCCTGGAGGCCAAGCAGGCTGCCTCTGAACACGGGCCTCCACTGTACTCGAACTCGCTCGCCCTGCTGCCAGCGGTGCGGGGGCCGAGCCAGCGGAGACGGGCAGCGCCTCCCTCCCGCAACACATGAGGGGCAACGATAGGGGGGGGGATGGGCATAGGGGGGGATGCATCGACCTGGAATCGGCCACACATCGTCGATAGATCGGCGACAGGCCCCCGAATCGTGAGTCCGCACCTTCCTGGGCGGGGTGGGGCTATCGGGCCCCTAGTGGCGATCAATCGGCGATTGGGGTCGATGCATCCCCCCTATGCCTATCACCCCCAACCGTTGCCCCTGAACACAGACCCCTCCTGCCTTTTGTCGCCGCCTCTGGCCGTCCCCGCCACCACGTGCCGCCCTGCTTCCGCCCTCGGTCCGCCCACCACCCCTCCCCGACCCCACCCCCTCCCCTTTCCTTCCCCCCTCCCCTTTCCTTCCCCCCTCCCTCCCTCCCTCTCTCCCTCTCTCCCTCCTCCCCCTTCCCCTCCCTCCTCCCCTCCCTCCCTTCTTTCTCCTTCGCTCCCTCCTCCCCTCTCTCCTCCCGCCTTCCCCCTCCCCTCCCCTCCTCCCCACCCATTCCTCCTCCCCACTCTGCCCCCAATTGACCAGCGAGTCCCTCCCCCGCCTTCCCCTGCACCCCCCCCGCCTCTTCCTTTCGTTCTGCTGGTGGTGTATTTTTTTGACGATGAAGGTAGGGTTAAGTCGCTCCGGTCCCTCGACAGGAGGGGTACTCCAAAACAGTCACAGAATAGTCTGGGGACCATTGTTTGGACTAGTTTCGCCAACTTGGAAACATGTGTTGAATGTGTACAATTCTTGCGTCCAAGATCCGCCTGTAGGGGGGACATGCCCGAGCTAAAGGCAAGGACGAACAGACCTTCCGAAGTCAGCCTGGGATGCAGCGCAGGTGGTTCAGCCGATGATTCGCCGACGCTGACCGCGTGCCCGACTGTGTCTTCCGAGCAGAGCTTCGCTGCATGGTCGAAACACATAGTGTCCCCATGGAGCCGCTTCCCCCGGAGGGGGCACCCGCTCCTGCCGGCGGCGAGCCCAGGGGGGAAGGCAGGGGGGGCGGGCCGCCTCACGCAGCTCAGAGTCCTTGGCCCTCCGAGCAGCTCCCTGAGCCATCTCCGAGAGCACAGGCGGCTTCCCGGAAGGCCGGAGGGCCTCCGAGGAGCTCGGCCGACCTCTTGGAAGGCCTGCCCCCCCTCGCTTCCGCACGGGCTCGCGGCTGCCCGTCCTGCCCCCAGAGGGCTCCCCCCCGGGTGCAGCCCCGGCGCCAGGGCGCTGGGCTACGAACGAGATATTGGTGTCACATCCAGTTGAAAGCCACACGACACCAGTGGGGGGAGTTCCTTGAAAGCGTGCGCATTGTTGCACTGCACGGAAGGACGGTGCGGTGCAACACAAACAAATGCAACGAAGCGCAATCATGCAAAACACAACCAGGATACCATGGCGTGGCAGCATCGCGTAGCATTGAGCTTGCGTCTGTATCATAACACGACGTAGCATAGCAAGCAGTGGCATCGTATTACGAGGGGTGGCACACCATTACATAGCGTGTCAAAGGATTGCGCAGCTTCACGTAGCATGTCACAATACAACGTTACACATGACATATAGTGGCCCATGGCATACCGTCCTGGCGCCATAGCGTAGTATAGCATTGCGCAGCATTGCATGCCCTGGCATGGCATCGCTTGGCGCGCATCCTGACCCAGTACAGAAAACTGCTGCAGTGCCTTGCACAGCGCTGCATGCAACTGCATAATATACCGTTGGACGGCATCGCGACACGAACTGTTCCTTCACATCGTGCATACTGTTACATATCACAGCTAGAACAGCCTACTAAATAGTTGTATGTCATATCAATGCATAGCGTAACACACCGGAATATTGTATCGCAGCGAATGGTAGATCAATGGATTGCCTACCACTGCATTGTGCGACGTGACGCAACTAGCGTAATTAACATAACACAGCACAGCACGGCACAACAGTCCTTGGCGACGCATGGCATGTCATTGGCTGTCCTTGTCACTGCGTTGCGTAGCGAAGCAGCATGACCAAATATACGACAAGGCAAAACAAGTCAGGGCACGCAGAACAGCAGACACCACACACACAAACAAACCAACAAGTGGCGAGGAAGCGGCGCACAAGGCATGCGCACCTAGTTTGACAGGGGAGTCCAGACACCGTTCCATTACACGAGACAGTGAAGAACTCTTGGCGCAAGCTTGCTTGAGAACAAGCCTTAGAAAGGACGATGCAAATGAACGACTCCAGATCTTCATGCCCAGAGAGGCTTGAACACAGGGTATTGCTCCATCTGTCTGCCACAGAGCCACGCCCCAACAGCCCTCGAAACAACCAACGGTCACTCACGCTGTGGTGCATCGGCCCACGACAACAAATTGTGCAGAAGAAGCCTGGATGAAACTCTGCATCCTCCGGCCTGGCCGCTAGCCTTCGCCTCAATCATTCGACCCCTGACCCAAGGCACCAAGGGCGTCAAGGAAACTCTCGGCTTCTGAGGCCCGTGCTTAAGTCGGGCGTGTCCCCCTACAGGGGGATTTCTGACAAACAAATACTAAACAAGTGCTCCAAAATGGCCAAACAAATACTCCAAAAATAGTCACCTGACTATTTTTGGAATCTGTTTGAGCCTACAGGCCACGGAGAAGCCCACGAGACGCTTCCCGCGCGGAGGGCCCCACCCAAGAGGGCCCCGGAGGGGCCTCCGCGGAGGCCTGCGGAGCCTGGAGGCCCAAGCGCGGCACGCGCGTGCCCCGAGCCTCGGTCCGTCTCCGCGTGGCACGCCCGGAGTGGGCACAGTCGGGCTTGCTAGGAGAGGACACGCGAGAGGACACAAGAACCTTTCGAAGGCCACATCGCCGTCGGAATGTAGACAGCCTGGGTCGCGAACCAGAGGACACGAGGGTAGCCTTGATCTGGCAAGGTCGACCTACTAATCCAGGCCGACTGTACAAGCACGGAAACAATTGAATTGGGCACGGTGCCTGACAGCAGATGCTGTTCAGCACCGACAGCGGCCGCTGCGGCACAAGCGGCATGCTTGTCCCGAATGGGGGCGTCGTTCGCGGTGGCACCGTCAGCGATTCCTGATCAGGATGGGCAGGAACTGGAGTCGGTCGTCGTCGCCATGCTCTCCGTACCCAGGTCGATCGTACCGATACGCTGCTCCCACGTGAGTTGCCCCCTCCCACCCCGCCCCAGCACCACTCCCTTGCCATCGCTCGGACGTCCATTCCCCGTGCCTTGCTCGGCTTCGCGCGTGTATTTTTCTCGCAAGGTGATCCAGACCCCAAAAGTTCCTCGATGGTCCCCGCCGAGAACGACTGCACACGTCCGAGCGATGTCAAGCCCCGGGCGGCGGTGGGCGTCGGGGGCGCCCCGTTGTAGTGCAGCACGAACAGTCGTGGCTCCGTGGCGTGGAACGCGACGTGAGGCCCCAGGATGCGCGACTGCCTCGGCGCAGGCGCAGCCTCCCTCCTTTATCCCCCTCCCCAGCATCGTTCCTCTCCTCCTCCTCCTCCTCCTCCTCCTCCTCCTCATCATCCTCCTCAAGGTCTCCTCGCTCCTCTCTCCACCCTCCGCTCTCCTCCCGCCCCGGTCCTGTTCCCGCGTCCATTACCCTTCCCTCTCGTCTGCCCTCCTCCCTCCTCTCGAGGTCTTGTAGTTGTTCGGCGGCTGTTTCTGGGGCCGGGGATCTCAGGAAGCCTCGGGGACATCCTTCTCCCGCGTCGTCGTCGTCGTCGTCGTCGTCGTCATCGTCGTCGTCGTCGTCTCCCCCCCACCCTCCTCCTCCCTCTTTGCCAATCCCTCCTCTCTCCTCCTCCTCCTCCTCCTCCTCCTCCTCCTCTCCCTCCTCCTCCTCCTCCTCCTATTCCTCCTCCTCCTCCTCCTCCTCCTCCTCCTCCTCCTCCTCCTATTCCTCCTCCTGCGCACTCACCAAGAGCTCCCGAGGTTCCCACGAGAGCACTTGAAATCAGGGTCCAAACGCAAACCACAAGAGAGCACCCATCAGGACGTCCTTTTTGTCACCTCCGACTGGGGGCGACATCCAATCGGAAGGCCAGCGACAGGGTGGTCTCCACGTGTGGGTCGCGGGCCCAAGCCCAGACCACTCCTCCTCCTCCTCCTCATTCTCCCTCCTCCTCCCCCTCCTCCTCCGCCTCCTCCTCCTCCCTCCTCCCTCCTCCCTCCTCCCTCCTCCCTTCTCCCTCCTCCCACCTCCCTCCCTCCTCCTCCCTCCTCCCTCGTCCCTCCTCCTCTCGTCCTCCTCCTCCTCCTCCCTCACTCTTCCTCCTCCTCCTCAATCCTCCTCCTCCTCTTCTTCTTATGATTATTCTTCTTCTGATTATTCTTCTTTTCCCTTTTCCTCGTCCTCTTCTCTTCCTCTTCCTCTTCCTCTTCCTCCTCCTCCTCCCCCTCCTCCTCCGCCTCCTCCCCCTCCTCCTCCGCCTCCGCCTCCTCCTCCTCCTCCTCCGCCTCCGCCTCCGCCTCCGCCTCCGCCTCCGCCTCCCACCCGGCTGCTGTCACCACCGTGCCGCAGTCGGGGGCCCGACGGGAGCATCGCCAGGAGCACGCCCCGCGGGCCTCCCCGCCGCCGGCCTCGCCCCCTCGGCGCGCCGCACCGCGCTCGGCGTGCGCGCGCGCGCTCGCTCCTCGAGGGCTCGTGCCGCCGCCTCGGACGAGCTGGCGAGGTACGCTGGGGCGACGAAATCTATGCATATCCACTGCTGCTGGCCAGGCTCATCCGGGGCCCAGGAGTAGTGTATATACGACCTCCTGGTCTGGCCAAAAGAGGCGTATACGGTATTCCTGGCCCCAGGATGGGCCTGGCTTGCAGCAGTGGATATGTACAAATCTCGTCGCCCTGTACGCTAGGAGTCGGCGGTGGACAAACCTCCCTTTGGTAAACCTCCCTTTAGTGAAAACGGCCTGGGGCCGAAACCGACCCGGACCCGCAGAAGCGACGGCCGCGGCGCCCCCTCGCGAAGCAAAGACGGCCAAAATTCCTTACTCGGCGTGTCGACGGAGGAGGAGGAGGAGGAGGAGGAGGAGGAGGAGGAGGAGGAGGAGGAGGAGGAGGGAGGTCTGTCCGCCTCCGATGGAGGTGTCCTCGGGTACGAGGCGGAGGAGGCGGGCCGTCCCAGCGGGGCCACCAGCCTTCCGGCCAGCCTTCTGCTGGAGGCCTGGAATGAAGGGGCCCCAGGACACACCAATAAATACACACAAATAAACAGATTCCCCATATGTTCGCATATTTTCTGGGTTTTTGTCTTCCAACCCACTTCCCATATTTTCCCATATTTTCTGGGGAGTCGACGATTAATTGTGTCTGTGTGTTTCTTTTCCTCCTGATGGAAATTGGCACCAACACCAGCACAGGGGCTTGCCTCCACAGGGAGACGATGATGCCAGATTTCGGTGTTGGTGGCAACATTTCGGCCACCTTGGAAGCCAGAATATGACCACCGTCACCGAGATCGGGATCGTCTTCCCTCGGTGGAGGCACACCGCCGATCTTGGTGTTGGTGTCAATCTCTAGGACTGCGAATTCTGAGCCTCCTCCGAGGCCACAAGGGGGCGCCCCCTCCCAGCAGGCCCGCTCGAGGGCCTCCGAGGGGCGGCGCCGCCGCTCTCTTCGGCGAGGCTCCTCGGGGAGGCGCTCTCCTCGCCTCCGGGGGCGCGCGGGAGGGCGGCCGCGGGCCCAGAGCTCGGCGCGGGGCGGGGGGGGCGAGGCGCGAGCTCCCGCGGCAGAGCCTGGGCCGAGCTCCCGGCCACGACGGACCGCTGCATCGTCCACGTCCAGGCGTGCAGCTGTGCGTCGTCGGAGCGTCGGTCGGAGCAGATGAAGAGAGGCCGCAGCGAGTACAGCCGGGGCGTTGACCTAAGGAACCCTAAATAAGGAACGAGGCCCTTTTTTTCGTAAGTTAAACTGTGACTTCCCATCGGAAACAGAAGGGAAACCTTAGAAAAAGGTGTGGAACAAGTAAGGAACCTCGAGCCCCTCCCCAACGAAAAGGGTTCCTTCTTCAGCGCCCCGACTGTAGGAGTGCCACATGCTCCGCCGCCGTCCTCCTTCTGAAGCTCGGGAGGCCATCGGGGAGTCCACAGAGGGTCTTCACACGGATGCAGAAGGCCGCCAGGCCTGCTGAGCCGGAGTGTACAGCTTGCCCGCTTCAGCAAGAGTTCTGTTTCCACGCCCACGTCGGCCCGAGGCTCTCGCGCATCTCGGAGGCGGAGACGGCGGAGGAGGACGGGTAGATAGAGATGCATGTCACAAAGGCTCTCGGAAGCGATCCCAGGATGGGCAGAGCCTCCGTGGGGACGTCGCCCCCTCGAGCCACCGTGCCTCCCCCGACCTCCAGCGGCTCGAAGCAAATCGTGCCCGAATGATTTGACAACTCTGGACGCCTTAGGGGGTGGGGGGCGCTCTTGGGCTTACTAGCCTGGAACATATCCCCATCCCTATGCTGGGCATCGCCGCATCACGATGCCGATCTTAGGGATTACCTCGGTTTTCTGAGTGTATCCCTAAGATCGTCATTGCCTTTTGGAATGCCAATCTTAGGGGTAAGGATAGATTCGAGGCTGGTGATGGGCACCCGATCCGTAAAGCAACGGCTCGAGATGAGAAACCGGCCCTGCTGGGGATGGGGCCGAGAGCTCCAGCAGGCTGGCGGCTCGAAGCCATCGAGTCCTTGGAGGCCCGTGGCAAGACTCGGGCTCGATGGTCACGAGTTGGGGTCCTGAGGGATGGAGGCTCAAGGACGAGTTGCTTCAGGCAGTGAAAATCAAAGCTTGGACACCTTCTTATCCTTGGGGTCCATCCCCTCAGGGCCCCAGCCTTGAACTGCCGACAAACCCAAAGGCCCTGATCTCGGCGGCCTTCACCCTCGTCCTCCTCCTCCTCCTCGGGCTGAGGCGGCGGCTTACTTCTAGCATCGACGGCTGGCTGCCCGTTGGAGTCAACCTGATCCCGGCGAGCTGAGCGCAACGAAATCAATTACTTGACTCGCCCCATGCGTACGAATATCCACCTGCTGGCCTGCTGCTACTCCTGCTGCTCGTCGCCTACGTCTCCAGAAGCTCCACCCACCCACTCCGCCACTGCACCCCTCCCGTTGTGCGTTTACCCTGCTGCTCCTCCTGCTCTTGGTGCGTGCCCCTTGTCGTGCTCGTGTTCAAACTCTGATTCCGTTTTCTCGTCCCTGTCCTCGTTCCGCTCCCATTCGTCACCATTTGCCTTCCTTCTACACCCCGCCTTCCACGAACGGAGCTGGGACCCAGTGAGAATATGACGGCAGCAGAACGACCAACTCCCAGCCTCGGTTAGGTTGCAAACGCATTGCAAAGAGCAATGAATCAATCGCACGGTGCGCGTATCGTCTGATACTGGCTAACCAGAGGAGAGCCCTGCGTTGTTTTCGGCATTGCGCCCATCAATTTCTGGAATTGCGCCTCCAATCCAATTACGATTATCACGAAGCCAAAACAAATTGGAGGATGGAGGCGCCACCGCAGAAAAACCGGTTTCCATTCCGTAATGACATGACGACCGGTGAACGCGCGGTGGCCATGAGATAACATCTCTGAAGTTTCGGGTATCCCGCAAACCAGTTGGAGCGTGGACCGCCAAACAATCTGTCCATATTGCCAGCTTGCACTGTCAACGTGCAGCCACGGTGGTGCATTCTGTAGTGGCTGAAAACTGTGGTGCAACACATGGGGTGCAAACCGCGTTGCGGAGCTTGAAGCCGTCAACCCCGATGTTCGCGCAAACGTCCCACCCTCTCACCCGCAACTTGTTTTGCACAACCCGTGCGGCCGCAATCGAGGAGATTACTTGGCACCGGCTGTCGTATCTCTGCGGCTGCGCTGACGCACGGAGGCTTCGCGCGCAGAGCGGCCAGCTGGTTTCGCACAGCTGGCGTGGCCGCAACGGCGCTTACCGATGAAATCATCAAACGGGTCTAGCTGGCTGCGCCGGCGCGCGGGCGCGACAATGCGGGTCGGTGGCTCGGGCGCGCGCGGTATCCTGATGACGCCGACACAGGCGGCAACGAAGATGCTACTGGCGATGGTGGTGGCGATATGACGATGACGACGGCAGAGCCAATGACGGCGCCGATGGTAGCCACGACGATGACGATGCTGATATCTATGTGTGGGGTGGCGAAGGCGATGGACTGATGATGCTGGCAACGGCGGCGATTGACGACGACGAGAATGGCGGTGATGCAGTGGCGCTGAGGAGCGAGGAAGTGCGCGCGCGCTCTTTGTCGCTCTTGAGCGACACAGAGCAGCTGCGCGCCGTCAAGAAACGAATCATCAACGCAACCATCTACTAAATTACTGCCTAAGAAAACTCGCAATCGCTCGGACGTCCATTCCCTGTGTTTTGTTCGGTTTCGTGCGTGGCTTTTTCGCCACATGATCAAGGATGCTCCTCGATGGCCCTCGCCGAAGCAAAAATGCACACGTCCGAGCGATGCCAGGAAAAGGAAATGCGCGCTCGCGAATATGCAAGAATCCTGGCAGACTTCCTGTTGAACAGCAAGCGGTGTTTTCGCACCGATGGTTCTGGTAAAGATCTCGACGCACACGCGCTGCGGCGCGCGCGTGCGGCCCAAGCCTATCGGGAGCGGAACCGTGCGCGCGGGGCATGCTACAGCCGGCCTTGATTTGAAAAGGGCGCGCGGGAGGACACGAGACCCTTTCCGAAGGCCTCATCGCCATAGGGGTGTAAGCAGGCACGTTTCGCGAGGCACAGGACCCAAGGGTACCCTTGATTTGGCAGGGTCGACCTGCTAATCTGGGCCGACGGTTGATCAACACAGATGCGCCGCGTGGTGAGATGGCAATGCGGGTTCTGGACGAGACTGCTAAGCCCATCGTGATTTTCCATGTGTTCAGCAGGGGCGCGCGGGCAGAGCATCTGCAAGCTCTGTGCTGAAACACCTCTGGTCTACTTTTTTGTTTGTATGATCAAACACTTGCAGCGCGGGCATGGCATAATTCGACAGGGATGACAGGTGGGGGTGGGGGTGGGGGAGGGGGCGATCTCCGGTCTGGCTGGGATGGTACGGAATGATATGGGTTATCCCAGAGCGACCTACCTAGGAGTTGGAGCCCCGAGGAAAGCAGTATTAGTAGTAACGGTAAACGCCGTCCTCCTCCTTCTCCTCGTCGTCGAGGTTGTAGCAGTAGCGGTAGTAGTAGTCGTCGTCGTCGTCGTCGTCGTCGTCGTCGTCGTCGTCGTCGTCGTCGTAGTAGTAGTAGTAGTAGTAGTAGTAGTCGTAGTAGTAGTAGCAGTAGCAGTAGTAGTAGTAGTAGTAGAAATAATACTAGTAGTCGTAGTAGTAGCAGTAGAAATAGTCGTAGTAGTAGTAGTAGTAGTAGTAGTACTACTAGTACTAGTAGTAGTAGTAGTAGTAGTAGTAGTAGTAGTTGTAGTAGAAGTAGTAGTAGTAGTAGTAGTCGTGGTAGTAGTGGTCGTAGTAGTAGTAGTAGTAGTAGTCGTAGTAGTAGTAGTAGTAGTAGTAGTTGTAGTGGTAGTAGTAGTAGTAGTAGTAGTAGTAGTGGTTGTAGTGGTAGTAGTAGTAGTAGTAGTAGTAGTAGTAGTAGTAGTAGTAGTAATAGTAGTAGTAGTAGTAGTAGTAGTAGTATTACTAGTAGTAGTAGTAGTAGTAGTAGTAGTAGTAGTAGTAGTAATGGTAGTAGTAGTAGTAGTAGTAGTAGTAATAGTAGTAGTAGTAGTAGTAGTAGTAGTAGTAGTAGTAGTAGTAGTGGTGGTGGTAGTAGTCGTAGTAGTAATAGTAATATTAATCGTACATGCTATGCTATGCTGCGTTGTGCTATGCTAGGGTATGCTAGCCTTTGCTATGTTATGCTTGGCCATGCTATGATATGCTACGCTGCGCGATGGTATGCAATGATATGATATGCTGCGGTGTGCTATACTATGATATGCTGCGTTATTCTATGCGGTGCTAGGCTATGACATGCTATGTTGTGTTATGATATGCGATGCCATTTCATGATATGATGCGCTATGATTTGCCATGCTATGCTATGATGATATGCGCTATGATATGATTCGCAATGCTATGTTGCGCTATGCTATGCTATGCTATGCGATGTTATGCTATGCTATGCTATGCTGCGCGGTGCTATGATAAGCTAATTTACGCTGTGATAGTATAAGTTATGATGTGCTGCGCTATGATGTGTTATGCGATGCTATGAAATGCGATGATGTGCTATGCTATGCTGCGCTATGCTATGCTATGCTATGATATGGTATGATATAACATGTTATGCTATGCGACGCTATGCTAATGCTACGCTGCGCTAAGCCAAGCTAGGCTGAGCTAAGCTAAGCTGAGCTAAGCAAAGCTAAGCTAGGCTAAACTAAGCCAAGCTAGGCTAGGCTAAGCTCAGCTGAGGTAAGTTAAGCTAGGCGAAGCTAGGATGAGATAAACAACGCTAAACAAAGGGGGCGTTTCTGGGGGAACCGCGGGCGGATGCCGGGGGAACCGCCCGGGGCAAGCCCCACTGCGTGGCCCCTGTAAGCCAAGAGAGTAAGAACCCTTCTAGGCAGAGCCTAGGTAGGGAAAAAATGAGCAATGAAACAAAATCATATGTAATCCCACCAGACCTCTGGGCGACAAATGGTCTAAAGGTGATTTTTTCCCCACATCCAACGTGGGGTTCTTGTTTTCTCTGGACACCCCGCGCAGGAACAGGACAGGAACACACACACACACACACACACCCACTCACACTCACTCACACTCTCTCATCATCAACCTCATCAGCATCATCGATGATGCTCTCTCACATGCTTAGTCACTCACATACTCATCATCATCATCATCACTCGCACTCTCTCACACGCTCACGACACATCATCATCATCATCGGCATCGGCATCATCCTCATTCAAACATCATCATCGCCACCACCACTCACAATCAATCATCATCCTCTTCGCCACTCATCTTCACCACCACTCATCATCCTCATCCTCATCATCGTTGAGTAAATTGTGAGGAAGTCTCAGGCGGGAACCCCCTCCCTATGGGGCCCGCACATCATGTTGGTAATCCGAGCGGGTCATCGGAAACCTGTAGCTGTCGTCACTTTTGGGCTCGTCAAGCCTGAAAATGGAGGAAGTCTCAGGTGGGAGCCTCGTCTGTGAGTGAATTGGGAGGAAGTCTCAGGCGGGAGCGCCCTCCCTATGGGGCCCGCAAATCATGTTGGTAATCCGAGCGGGTCATCGGAAACCTGTAACTGTCGTCACTTTTGGGCTCCTCAAGCCTGAATTTGGAGACGTCTCAAGCGGGAACCTCGTCTGTGAGTAAATTGTGAGGAAGTCTCAGGCGGGAACCCCCTCCGTATGGGGCCAGCAGATCATGTTGGTAATCCGAGCGGGTCATCGGAAACCTATAACTGTCGTCACTTTTGGGCTCGTCAAGCCTGAAAATGGAGGAAGTCTCAGGCGGGAGCCTCGTCTGTGAGTGAATTTGGGAGGAAGTCTCAAGCGGGAACCCCCTCCTTATGGCGCCCGCAGATCATGTTGGTAATCCAAGCGGGTCATCGGAAACCTGTAACTGTCGTCACTTTTGGGTTCCTCAAGCCTGAATTTGGAGGAAGTCTCAGGCGGGAGCTTCGTCTGTGAGATTCTGAGGAAGGCTCAGGCGGGAGCCCCCTCCCTATAGGGGCCCGCCGATCACGTTGGTAATCCGAACGGGTCATCGGAAACCTGTAACTGTCGACACTTTTGGGGTCGTCAAGCCTGAATTTGGAGGAAGTCTCAGGCGGGAGCCCCCTCCTTATGGGGCCCGCAGATCATGTTGGTAATCCGAGCGGGTCATCGGAACCCTGTAGCTGTCGTCACTTTTGGGCTCCTCAAGCCTGAATATGGAGGAAGTCTCAGGCGGTTTTGCCCCGGGCGGAGGCGAAACAGCTCGCGGCAGAGCTGGGCTTCGTGCTGCCTTCCGCCTGAGCGCGGCTGCGCCTCGCTCGAAGCCCGCGGGGTTGTCCCAACGGCTTGGTCTTGCGCGCCAACGGCTCGCGGGGTTGTCCCGACAGCCTGGCCCGCGGGGTTGTCCCAACGGCTGCGCGACGTGACCAGTAGAGAACGCGCCTGTGCTGGCCGTGGCGGCGACGGCGCCGAGGAACATCGACATGCGCGCTCATGCAACAGGAAGGGGAGGAGGTGGCGGGGCGCGGAACAAACAGGGGGGCGAGGATGGGGACAACGTAAGGAGTGGAAGGGGGGCCCGCGCCAAGGCGACAGGAAATATACGCAGAAGAGACAGCCAGGACGCCGCCTCACCAACCACGAGGACGACGGTGATGGTTTTTTTCCAGATTCGCCCAGAGGATTCTTATGTGGGGTTCTTCCGTCGGAGTAATTTCTTTCCACAGCCCCTCTTCCCTTCGGGGAGGGGTGCCCTCCCCCTCCCCTCCCTGGGGTTTGTTGGATGGGACCGATGTGTCAGAGGGTCCTTTTTCGGCCAGTCGGAAGGCACATTTTTACACCCCTCACGAGGATCGTGGCCCCCGGGGGTGGGGGGGGCAGACGTCGAGGACCCCCCCTCTCTTGACCGACCGCTTTCAAGATGGCACCACGAGGCCCTCCACGGCTCCCAAGAGGCTCCTTGGAGAGCTCCGAGAGCAAACCCAAGAAACCGCAAGACGCCTCCAAAAGGCCTCCAAGAGGCACCCGAGAGGCCCCCGAGCGGCCTCAGAGAGCCACAGATGACCTCCAATATGGCCCACGATACCACAAGCTGGCTCAAAACGGCTCCCGAGATGCTCCAAGAGGCCCCAAAACCGCTCCAAGACGGCTCGAGATGGCCACGGAGCCCCCCCAAGAGGCCGCTAAAAAACCAACACGCCGGCCAGGTCAGCCTCCATCGCTGTTTAACTATGCGTGTCTCTCAATCTCTCCCCCCGTCAGCTCTCATGGACACCATTTCTGGATGGGCTGGTTGGGATATGTTTTTCGCGAGCGCAAGCGGTACAGCCGCGCGCCGTCAGAACGAAGCAACAATGCAATGGCGTAAATGACGCACCAAGCGCGCTGGTGGGGATATTTTTTTTGGTCGCGGCCGCGCAGCAGGAGGGCAGGCGGCGAAAGGGGGTCCGGGGCACGGGCCAGCCGAATTAGCTACTAAGCGACACGCAAGCTGGCCGGGCCAGCACTCAGAAGCGGCAGCTGAGGTGCAGCAGCGGCTGATGGAACTGGATGGCTGGTCTGCAACGCCCAGGGAAGCTGATGCATCTTGCAATCCTGAGGCAGGGGTGCCAGAGGTGGAATTAGGAACTGCACGCCGGGACGCCAGTCCAGCACAGTGCAAATGCCATGCCGCGTTCTGGGGATCGCTGCCGCTGCTGGTGAACCGGAAAGCGGTGCGGAGCCAGGAACGGAGCCGGGCGAGCATGATGAGCACAAACGCTGTGGCCAGGATCGACCAGGTACAGACTGACCATGTCGCCGCAGGGCGCCAAGGGCCAGGGCCGCGACAGCGGCACAGAGTCTGCCAGGTAGGCTGGGGCGTGGCGCGGGGGAAGCACGGAATCTGCTGGAAGGCTGGACTATACTGGAGGGGATACTTTTTTTACAGCCGCGGGCGAAGGCGCCAGCGGCGGCGAGTAACGGTCGGGCTGCGGCCGAAACTAATTGGCCGGACGCGCGCGCGGGCGAACTGGAGGGGATACGCGAAGCGATAAGAATTTGCCATGTCCCGAGGGGCCTCACTAACTTTGTGGAGGGGTCCTTCTTTTTTTAAAAGGAGACTCTCTACGAAGTGCCACCTACGACCAACGAGACCTCTAAGACGGCCCTAAAGCGCCCCAGGCGGGCCCCAAGATAGCCGAGCATCGGCCCCACAGCGGGCCCCCTGGGAGGCCCCGAGGCCCCGAAGAGGCCTCCTCCTGCCCCTCCTCGTCCTCACTATCCTCCCTATCCTCCTCCTCATCTGCCTCCTCTCTCTCTCTCTCTCTCTCTCCCTCTCCCATTCTCTCTCTCTTTCTCTCTCTCTATCCCGCCCCAACATGTTCCCCCAGGGTTTCCACCATGGCTCGAGGAACGCAGAAACAATAACTAGCTTGGTCAGGCTTTGTCCCAGTGTTCTGTCATGCAGGTGCTTTCAAGGGGCAGGGGGCGATGGTGGCTCGCTCTGGCCCGCCAACTCCCGCCCTCCCTGACAGGTCCCCGACCGCAATCACGCCGAGCAGGCCGGGCAACAATTCCCAACTGAACTTTCTTCGCGCACGAGAAGAACCATAATAATTACGTGCACATGTGCCGGACATGCCAACGCGATTGGATGCCCATCTCCAGATGTTCCCCGAATCAGGGCACACAGCCAGACTTGTTCAACACGTGGTTCCTGGACCCCCCGTCCCCCTCCTCCTCCTCCTCCTCCTCCTCCTCCTCCTCCTCCTCCTCCTCCTCCTCCTCCTCCCCAAGGCAAGTTTTTTTGTTCATCCCGAGTAGCCGTTCGACAACACCTCGGTCTGGCGAGGGCCCCCCGAGGCGAAGACGGCCAAGAACGCCGTGGCTTGTCCACGACGCGAGCGCGAGAGGCGGCAGGACGCGAGACGCGGGGCTGACGTCAGGCAGCCGGAACTGCGCGAAGCTGCGGGTGTCTTTGAAGACCTTGGGCACCAGCTGCTCGGACGTCAGGCGCACCTTGGGCGCGTCCACTGGAGCATTAGCTTCCTCGTCTCATCCCCCGCTCCTCCTCCTGCTTCTCTTTTCCACAAGTTTCAATCTTCTCCACCTCCTCCTCATCCTCCTCCTCCTCTTCTCCATCCCAACGCTCCACCCCCCCCCCGATCTGGAGCGCGCAGCCCAGCAGGCGAGTGCCGGAGACGGAGGCGCAGGCCGAGCTCCAGCTCTGCTCAAAGGCAGGCGGAGACGCAGGGCAGGGGGAGGAGGAGGAGGAGGAGGAGGAGGAGGAGGAGGAGGAGGAGGAGGAGGAGGAGGAGGAGGAGGAGGGGGATGAGGAGGGAGAGGGGAGAGGAGGAGAGGAGGAGGAGGAGGAGGAGGAGGGAGCAGCGGTGGCAGCCCCAGATAAAAAGAGAGAGAGAGAGAGAGAGAAAGAGAGGGAGAGAGAAGAGAGAGAGAGGAGAGGAGAAACGGGGCAGAGCGGCAGCGCCTGGGGGACGCGGGGCCAGAGCGGGGAGGAGGGGGAGGAGGAGAGGAGGAGGAGGAGGAGGATGAGGAGGAGGAGGAGGAGGAGGAGGAGGAGGAGGAGGAGGGGAGGAGGAGGAGGAGGAGGAGGAGGAGAGGAGGAGGAGGGAGGAGGAGGAGGAGAGGAGGAGGGGGAGGAGGAGGAGGAGGAGGAGGAGGAGAAGGAGGAGGAGGAGGAGGAGGAGGAGGAGGAGGAGGAGGGAGGCGCAGTGGGAGCCAGTCCACAAGAAACCTTCCACAAGGACCCCAGGACGTCCATGGGCTTTTGGTGGGGGATCGTCACGCTTTCCGTAGCAAAACCATCGAAACCCAACAGAAAGCCCTGGGCACCCCGGAGGCAAGCAGGGTGTGTCTTGGCATGGGCCTCTTGTAGGAAACGCCACAATTAGGCGGCGCGCCCGTGGGGGAAGAGAGAGGGCAGGCCTTCTCAGAAGGCGGCGAAGCTTCTCGGAACCCCCCCGGCCCGCCGAACATTGTCCGTGCCTTCGGAAGAAACTTGAGCAACTGTTCAGAAGACGCGTTGGATTTTCAGGCCTTCTGAAAAAGGCCCGCCCCCTCCGACCCCCCCCCCTCTGGTGAGGGGCAGCGACAGAGGGGGGGTTGGCAAGGGAAGGGAAACATCGGCCCGAAATCGGAGATACATCGCCGATAGATCGGCGATTGGCCCCCGAGATTGAATTCACACGTTCCTCGACGTGGTGGGGCCATGGGACCCCTTGTCGGCGTTGAATAGCACGACTGGGGGTCGATGCGTCCCCCCCATGCCTATCTCCCCCCCTGTCGTTGCTTCTGGCCCCAGGGTTCGCCGCCGACGAAAGAGAGGGGAGGAGGTGGAGGCGAAGGACCCAGGTTACGAAGAAAAACGCGAGCTCCGTTTGAGGCAGCTATATATCGCATGGGCGAGAAGGGGGGAGCGAGGAGGACGAGGGCGAGCACAGGGAGGAGCAGGAAGGGGAGGGGCGAGAGGCAGGGGAGGTGGGAGAAGCGAGCACGAGGAGGGCGCGGAGCGGTCAGGTGATGAGGACGAGGCGAATGAGGAGTCAATTGATTATTTTTCGCAACCGTGCCCGTGACAGGCCCCCTGCCCCCTTCCCCCCCGTCCCTGGCCACATCACGATTCGCGCCAGCGCCGTCTGGGAAGTAACCTGTCCTAAGCATCCCCAAGTGGCGCCGAGGCGAATCTTGACGTGACCAGCCCCTTCGCCACCCCTCTCCGGCGTCGCGTTTGTTATCGCCGACGGGGATACAAAAACGTCTCGACGAGGATGAAGCCGAGGGAGACGTTCGGGGACGCTCGGACGGCACCACGCTGTCGGCTGGTTCCTATCGCCGCTTCACCTGCAATGGCCAGCGTCCCGCCGCGCCCGTCGGAAAAAACACACACACGTCCGAGCGCTGCCATGACTGGGAAGGCCCCCCAGACGGCCTCCGACTGCGGCAGACGTGCCAAAGACACCCAAGAAAATGCCCCCTAAGAGGCCCGAGGAGGCCCCCAGGAAGCTCCCAGGAGAACCCTAGAGTGGCCGCGGCCCAATTGGCTCCCGAGAAGTAGCATGCGTGCAGCACTCCCCTCCTAGCACCCGCGGCGCCCTCTGCCCCCTGGCCGCCGCGCCTCTAGCTTCCAGGAACTCGCTGCTGCCCTCGAGCACTAACACTGTGCTCCAGGTAGACTGGCGCCAACAGTACCCTGACCTAGAGACCCAGGCCCCCCTGTGTCGCCATCCACCCCTTACCGGAAGAGGTTCGCTCTCGCCCCGCAGACCAACAAAAATGTGTCGCCATCCACCCGTGCCTCTATCTCGTGTCCAGCCCTGTGGCTTGCTTGTTGCCCCCCGTCCCCGAGGCCAGCACCGCAATCGCTTCGGCCGCGCCGAGTCTGGCCCGCCAGCCACGAAGGAAGGGAGCAGGACGACGACGGACAGGGCGTGGAGAACGAGTCTGGAACGGGCCACGAAGTTCAAGCTGCGTACAGTGGCATCTCTTTTCCCATCGTTCTCCCTCCTGGCACGATCAAGATTAAGATGTACATGGCGGGGCTGAGCTCGTCATCGTCATTCCTGAGTTCGACAGGTGACCCCAACCTGTTCTGATGCGGCACAGCCCGCGACCCCAAGTGACCCAAGATACTGCACGTGCGTCCAATATCTTACTCGGCCGTGCTCGGATGTCCGCGTGCTCCTCCGCGAGTGGTGCAAACCAGACCAGCCGCTCCAGGACCCAGGAAGTCCTGCACACGCGAATCATCGTGACCGAACTCGTTGCCCGCACGGCTCTGCCAACAATGCCATGTGTCCACCCGACACGGTGGCCACTGCTGCATTATTGTGCCGCGCCTCCTCCTCATCCGGATCCATATCCTCGACACCCTCTGCTTCTGCCTGGTGCATGTTCGAACCAGCGGCATCTGAGGCACGAGCTCTAGGGCCAAGGTGCGTGCATAGCTATGATTGTTCCATGGAGCGCGTTTCTTTGTTTTCGGCGGTGGCGGGCGTCATGGGTCAGGGGCGGGGGGGGGGGGTATGACATAGCGCCCCCCACCGCCGTGTGGCTCCAGCACCACAGCCGCGCCCGCGCGCACGACGACGATCATGATCAACGGCGATCGCCGGCCGCCGTCCCAATCCGATCAAGATGGAAGAGCCGACCGGATAGCCTATCCGGGTGCTCGGGCGCGGCATGCACGAGCCTCCCCCCAAACCCCTGCATGGGTGGACGTGAAGGCCCCCAAGGGCCCCCAGCACCGAGCAACGAGCATACGATGAGCGACGAGCGACGACGACGAACGACGACGACGACGACGACGACGACGACGACGACGATTGCGGACCAGACTCCTATGCGGATTCCTATGCGGACACCCGTGCGGATCACGAGGCGCACGAAGGCGGCAGTGCCCGGAACGCACCGGGGGGGGGGAGCGCTGCGTCAAAGGGGGGGGCGCGGAAGCCATGACGCCCGTCGTGCCCCGAGCAATAAAAGAAAAAAACGCTCATGGCCCGCGTTCACTACATTGTTGTCAACCCGATGCTGTGCTGAAGTGGAAGAGGTGGAGCAGCAGGAAGCCAAAGAATGAGACGGAGCAGGAAGGAGTGAGAAGGGGAAGTCGGAGAACCAGCGGGGGGCAGGAGGCAGGGGAGGACGACGACGATGGCAACGATCGAGTGTTCGAACCGTGCTGGCAGGAAGCGTGGTCTGCCGACCAGCACAATCTGAATTTCAAATGACAGATGAAAGTGGCCTTGTAGACGAGCTTGTATGTACATTCTTCTCAGCTGGTCGAGAAGCATCAAGCGTCGTACATCAGCAGCACCACTGCTACAGAGAGCGAAAGCGACCCAGAGCTGCCGAAAGAGCACGCCTGGAAACGACCACCATGCCCAGTGGCTGGTGAGCCGGGCCACGGGCACAGCCCGCCACGAGGCCACGCACGACACCACCTGTATGTACAACTCCTCCTCCTCCTCCTCCTCCTCCTCCTCCTCCTCCCCCTCCTCCTCCTCCTCCCTCCTCCTCCCTCCCTCCCCCTCCCCCTCTCCCTCCCCCTCCCCCTCCCCCTCCCCCTCCCCCTCCTCCCATCTTCCTCCTCCTCCTCCTTCTCCTCCTCCTCCGCCTCCTCCGCCTCCTCCTCCTGCACCGCCTGCCGCTTGCAGGGGGCGCGCCCGTTGCGGCCTCCCCCTATGCGGGGCCAGTCGCTGGAAAATCCTGCACAGCGTTTGCCCGTCGGCCGACGAAATCGAGGCGCAGAGCAGCACCGCGCACGCTTTCGGAGGCACGGGCGCCCGTGCACAGAGCAGGGCGCCGGCGCAGGTCTCTCGGGGAGGTGCGAGGGACAGAGACGGTCCTCTGCAAAGGCCATGCCTCTCGGGTGGGGAGCCCGAGGTATCTCGGCGGCGGCCAAAGTGAGGTCCAAGGAGATGGGGTCGGAGGATCGCGCCGCATCGCCGATGCATCGGCGACGTCGGCGATGCATCGGCAAGTTCGGCGACGTCCGCGATGCATCGGCGATGCCCGGCGATACACAGTCTCCGATTACTTCGACCCCATTTGAGCGGCCTGAAGCGATGGGGCCACATGCAACGGAGCCCAAGTTATACGGTCTCGGATCGACGTCGAATTCAGATCGCCCGATGCACAGGCTGGGCAGACGCGCATCCTCACTGCTGCGGCAGGATCCTGAAGACACGGGAGGAGGTCGGCGACGCAGGGCGGACAACGCCGTTCACGACGGCGACGTCGGCGCAGCGCGCCCGGTGGCCGTACTGCCCCGGGGACGCCATGCGCATGACCTGAAAGCAGACGTCCACGCTGGCGAAGCGTTCCTGTTCGGGGGCGGCCAAGAGGGGGGTGTCCAAGAGGGGGGGTTGCAAATCATGACCGGCGGCATGTGCGCGGCCCAGCGGGGGGGCCAGGGACGTAATGAAGTAAGAAGAGGCGTCATGAGGTCTGGGGAAATATCATGGCCCCCGCCATGATATCCACCCCCCCTAGTCATCACCCCCCTCTTTTCCGCCCCCGATGCACGGCGCACAGAAACACGATCCGGGATTGCCGCAAAGGTTCGAACACGTTGTGACGCGAAGCTCAGGGCGACACTAAAGACAACATCCAGATGTTGTCCTTCATCCACGGGGCGGTCTGCATTTCGCGAAACGTGCTCCATTGAGGTAGTGTCAACTTTGGCGGAGCACCGTCTCGCAAAATTGGTAGTGGACGCACGAATTGTGTTTTCCCTAACCCGCCTTTGAGTTGGGCCCTCGTTTTGAATTCGCAGCGCCACGCGACTCCTCCCTCCTCCCTCCCTCTCTCCCTCCTCCTCCTCCTCCCTCCCTCCCTTCCTCCCTCCCTCCCTCCCTCCCTCCCTCCCCCCCTCCCTCCTCCTCCTCCTCCCTCCTCCTCCTCCTCCTCCTCCTCCCCTCCTCCTCCTCCTCCTCCTCCTCCTCCTCCTCCTCCTCCTCCTCCTCCTCCTCCCCCTCCTCCTCCTCCTCCTCCTCCTTGCTTTGACTTCCGCAGGTGCGTTTTGGCACACCTCTCACACGTTTCGTGGTCCCATAGGGAGCTCCCTCGAAGGCCCCAATGGCTGCTTCCACATGGCGACTCGGGTCCTTTCTGGCACACCCCTCACACGTGTCGTGACAACATAGAGAGCTCAACCGAAGGCACTGATGGCAGCGTCCGCATCGTGCCTCGGGTCCCTTCTGGTGCAAGCCTCACACGCCTTGTGGCCCAACGGGGAGCTGCACCGAAAACCCACATTGGTGCGTCCGCATGGTCACTCGGGCCCCTTCCAGCACAATCCATCTCGCATCTCGTGCCCCCGTTAAGGGGCTCCCTCGAAGGCCCCAGTGACAAGGTCCGCATGGTGACTCGGGTCTCTTCTGGCGCACCGCTCACACGTATCACGGCCCCATGGTGAGCGCCACGGAAAACCCCATTGGCTGCGTCCGCATGGTGACTCGGCCCCCTTCTGGCACGCACCTCACAGGCTCCATGGCACCACAGAGAGCTTCAGCGAGGGTCCCAAGTGGCTGCGTCGGCATCCCTCTGGCCGACCAGTTCCCGCCCCCCGTCACCCCCCGCAAAACCATGGAATGCGGTGCGCGTGAGTTGATCTAAAATAATGTGTGTGTGTGCTTGCAGGTTCCTCCGCCAGCCAAGACCATGAGGGCGACGTGCGCGCACCGCCGCGCGCGCGCAAATCAGAGCCATTCAAACACCATGCTGTGGTCAGCAGCCGCTTCACTACATACCGACTCACAAGCTATGACACAAGAGATGTGGCGTTCACCATGCGGTTGCCAGATCTATGCGAGTGCACTTGCTGAAACCATGTGAACACAAGTCTGAAGTTCTGGTGAGCAACTCTGTCAAATACCCATCGGTCGGAAGAAGTAGGCAGAAACGTGAAGTAGGAGAGCGCTGAAAATAGATTGGGTTCAGTCCGCTTCCCAAGGATGACGGAAAAGGTGAAGCCCCTCGATCATTGACGCAAGAAGGTGCTGAAAGTAGATTAGTACGAGTCGGCCTGCACCTAATGTAGCTGCAACTTGCCATTTCGGGGACGCTCATCGTTGCAAGAAACGTTGGTCCGGAATCTCAAGCGAATACGTCATGACTGGGCACGACCTGTTGCGATGGGGGCCTCGCGCAAAGTCGCACACTTCCCAACGCAAGCCTTAACACTGGGAGCGAAACCAAATCCCCAGCCCAGCGTGGAACCTCGGACGATGGTTTACATGGTCCCGCTGAAAGCTGAAAACTGCATTGTGCATCTGCGTCCCGTGGGTCTGGCCTCGCGGTGAACTGCGCCACCCGTAGCGGCTGTAGCGCTCGCCCCCGTCCCCCCCCGCGCGCAGAGCCCGAGCCCGAGAGGGCGCAGCGGCCCACGCCCCGCGGAGGAGGGAAGAGGGGGAAGGCAGAAACAGCGCACGCGCAGGGGAAGAGGATGAGGGCAGGAGTAGGACATCACTGCAGTGGGGGCCTATTCACAAGAAGCCTTACACAAGAAACCCAACCCAGAGACCCCAAGATGCCCATCGATATTTGGTGTGGGAACGCCGCGCTCTCCATAGCCGAACCATCGAAACCCAAGAAACCCAGGGCACCCTGGAGGCAGGCAGGGTGTTTCTTGGCATGGGTTCGCACTGTATGGCCTCCTGCGCTTCGAGGGCCTGATTCAATTTGGGGCCGAAGTGGCTGCGATGGCCTGGTCCAGCAGGGGTGCTGACGGACAGCCAGCTGGATTGACATTCGTGCTTGCCTCGAGACTTGAGTCCCTTCTTTCCACCAGGCCAACAGAGTTTCCCCTCCTCTGGCTCATCCTGATTTTGTTGGGAGCTCTTCGGCGGCCCGGACTTGCACTGGGCGGCTTGACGACCGCACTCGCGGCATGCTCCGCCTGCTTTCACCAATACTTGATTCCACTGGCAAGCACATGGAGGCTGGAAGTGGTGAGGTTGGAAACTCAATCAAACTCCCACCAGCCCTCTGGGCGACAGGTGGCTTAAGGAGGGTCCATTTCCTTTTCCGCAACCCCTCTTCCGTCGGGGGAGGGACCCCCCCCTTTTTCCTGGTTTGTTATTGGAGGGAAACCGATGTGGCAAAAGGGTCCTTTTCTCGGCCAATGGGAGGGCCAATTTCTGATACCTTTCACGAGGACCGTGACCCCCGATGGGGGGGACGAACATCGAGGACCGCCCCTCTATTGACCGACCGCCTCCAATATGACCCCAAGAAGCCCTCCAGGGCACCCAAGAAGCCCCCAAGAGGGTCCCATGAGCGCCCCAAGGGGCCCCGAAAGGGCTCCAAGAAGGCTCCAAGAGGCCCCCGAGCTTCCTCGAAGAGCCCAAGATGACCTCCAAGATGGCTCAAGATAGCCCAAGCCGGCTCAAGATGGCTCCCAAGATGCTCTAAGAGGCCTTTGAGACCACCCCAAGACGGCTTGAGATGGCCACGGAACCTCCCCAGGAGACCGACGAGCAGCCACGCGGGCCCTGAGATGGCCCCAGCACGCCGTCCAGGCGGGCCTCCCTCGCTGTTTGGCTGCGCGTGTCTCTTCCTCTCCCCCCGTCAGCTCTCGTGGGCATCGTCTCTGGATGGGTTGGTGGGGGACTTTTTTGTTCGGCGGCCCGCAAGGAAAAGTCCAGAGGGCGTGTCAATCACAGGCAATGGGGCGCAATGCCAGATAACTAGTGAGGGCCAGGCCACGAAAGCAGGAAGCCGCCAAGAGGGCGCCAACCCACGCATGTGCAACATGCAGAACAGGACAAAAGCGGCACCAAGCCAGAATATTAGACCGACCGTCCTAACAACAGCCGACCAGACCAGCAGGCGAACACACACACCCTGCGCGGGACAAATTCTAGAGAGCGGACCGTCCTGACGACAGCCTGCCGCGCCGGCAGGAAGGCACACAACCAATCCTGCACGAAACAAATTCCAGAAGGCCAAGCGGCGAGAGAAGGAAAGCAACCGACAGGGCGCCAACCCACGCACGTGCAGCATGCAAACCGGGACGACTGAGGCGCCCAGCCAGAATATTAGTCGGGTTGGTGGGGAGACGCGAAGCGTCAAGAATACCATGGTTGACTGGGTGGAATGGCATCTGGCCAAAGGCCAATCCGTAGGATAAACTATTTGGGGCAGCGAGACAGCCGTTGAAAACAATCAGTGGCCGAACCGCGGAAGAGAACAGGAAGGCTGCGATTGAAAAGAAGTCTGACGCGCGGCGCAGACGCCCATCAACGAACGACACGTCTGGCCACGCCGAGTGGGCCGGGCCAGCGCCGGAGAAGAACCGAAACTGGCCAGCGCTAAAAGCACGCGCGCCAGCAACCCCCCAACGCACGCGAAACTGGCAAAGCCGAGCCCTGAGAACACAAGCTAACTTGGGCGCCCGAGTTATCTGGGGTAACTCGGGCCCAGGGGAACTCGGGTTTGGATTCCCGAAAAAGGAACCCGAACTAGCCCTGACCCGAGTTACCCCTGATGAGATGTGGGGCTCTGGACGCCCGAATTATCCGGGGTAACTCGGGTCCGGGGTAACTCGGGTTCGGATTCCCGAAAAACGAACCCGAATCAACCCCGACCCGAGTTACCCCTGATGAGATGTGGGGCTCTCTGGACGCCCGAACTGTCCGAGGCAACTCGGGCCCGGGGCAACTCGGGTTCGGATTCCCGAAAAACGCACCCGAATTAAACCTGACCCGAGTTACGGCAGGTTCGTGCCGTGCCGACCCCAGCGTTGGTTCTTGACACCGCAGGGATCGTTCAACCTTGAACGATCGGCCGCTGCCGCAACGTCCGATCGCTCAATATCGATCGATTCTGGGTCGCCGGCGGCGTTCAACCTTGAACGCCCGCGCTGGGGTCGCCGCTGGTCGACACGACGCAAACCTACCGTACCCCTGATGATTCGGGGCTCTGACTAACCGCAAAGCCCCGGGCGCGCGCCGGAAACTCCGACCGCGGCCGGCGCCCGAGACTGCTCGGGGGTGGAAGCGGCGGGGTCGCCCGCAGACCGCGCCGCGTGCGAACCGCGGGAGGTATCGGTGTGGCGCCGGCGCGTCGAAGGTGGCCCTGGACCTCGGCCAAAGATCGCGCCCAAGGTCTCGGCTCGAGAGCCCTCGAGTGCGCCGCCGCCCCCGGGCGCTGGTTCCCGGCCTCGGCGCCGGCCCCAGCCCCAGCCTCGCCCGGAGCCCCCAGACCTGGGGCGCGGCCTCGCCTGGTCCCCGTCGTTGGTTCCTGGCGCGCCAGCTGTGATTTAGGGGACAACTATTGGGAGGCCTTCGTCAGAAGGACCAAAGATGTTTGAGCCCCCTTGAGGGGCTGTTGCGCTGGAAAGGGCCTCGGACCGAGCGGGATTGAGTCGGACTAAGCGTAGGGGAACAAAAAGTGGCATAAACATAAAAACTCGGAGGTCCGCGCGGATTTCTCGGATCGGCGCTGGAACCCCCTCCCTGGCGCGCGGAGCGCGCCAGGGGCGGCGCCGGAGGCGCCGCCGGGGGAGTCCAGCGCGGATCCGAGAAATCCGCGCGGACCTCTGAGTTTTTATGTTTATGTCAGTGTTCGTTCCCCTAAAGCGGGATTAGGCCGGATTGATCGGGATCCACCCGGATTTCGGACCAGGGCAGAATCTGAAGTTGACCTCCCAAGAATTGCATCCGAAAATCTAATCCTTCGCGCCGCAAGTCTCGGCACGGGCCCCTCATCCGCGGCCGGACGCGAAGCGGCTCCACCCCCTGGCGCCGCAGCGCCCCGCGGGGAGGAGGGGGGCGGAGAGGGGGCGAGCGAGCGCCAGCTCGAGGGCAAGGCTCGGGGAGGGAAGGCGGCGACGAGGAGGGGAGGGGGAGGACGAGGAGGAGGGGGAGAAGGAGAGGGAGGGGGGGGAGGGGGAGAAGGGGGACTTTGCAACGCGGGGCCAGGCTTCTTTCTGTGCCGAGCTTCTAACCGAATACGTAAATAAACGCGGCGCCGCTGCTTCATGCCATCCGTTGACAACCTGGCTTGCACTGGTCCGTGGGGCCCCTTGGTACAAGAACAATCTGTTCGGGCGCTCTCCAGCAACCCCTCGGCCACGGCATTCCCAGCGACACAGTCGATGGCGCGGCCGGACACGGGCGCCACGCGCGCGGAGAGGCGCGGGGCGAAAGTTCCAATCTTCGCTTCGCGCTCGAAGCCAGGCTCCTCAGGGGGGCTCGCATTCCAATCTCCTGCAAGGACGGAGGAGGAGGAGGAGGAGGTGGAGGAGGAAGAGGAAGAGGAGGAGGAGGAGGAGGAGGAGGAGGAGGAGGAGGAGGAGGAGGAGGAGGAGGAGGAGGAGGAGGAGGGGAAGATGGGGGCAGGAGGAGAAGGAGGAGGAGGAGGAGGAGGAGCGAGGAGGGAGGGGGAGGAGGGAGGAGGGAGGGAGGGAGGGAGGGAGGGAGGGGGAGGGAGGGAGGGAGGGAGGGTGGAGGAGGAGGAGGAGGAGAAGGAGATTGGGCGCCAGCCGCGCTCCAGTCTCCTGCCCCCGACGCCCCCTGGTGGACCACATCCGACGCGCGCGAGGATGGCCACCCCGACGTATCCTCCAGATTTCGTGATAAAAGGAGTCGGGGATCTTCTGACCCGGGTCAATCCAGACCCGGGTCAATCAGGCCTGCAAAATCCTGCACTCAAACCCGGGTCAATGCGACGGATCCTGCAGGATCCTGCAGAATCCTGCACCCAAACCCGGGTCAATGCGACCCTGGCGCTGCAGGATCCTGCAAGATCCGGCACTCTGGCTGACCCCCGTCTGCACTGACCCCCGTCTCGAGGCTCCCGAAGGAGGGGGGTCTTCGACGCGCCGGCGCCGCACCGATA